GGTTCCAAAAGAACTACCTATCCAAACGTATTTCGAACCGCATGGTTAATTTACGGGTTGTCTAATTACCTCATGCATTATAAAAATCACAGTTCCCCTTATGTGAAAAAGTTACTTCCTTTATTTTTTGAAAAAGTAGTGAAACTACACATGTCACTCTGGTAGGCTGTAGTACTGATCGCCATTAAACTTTCAAAATAAATCGCTGACGAAATACGACTCAAAATAATCAGACTTGTCGGAAACAAAGCCAAGCAATATTTAAGCTGAAACAGAAAATTGGGCACTTTTAACTACTGGTAATATACTACCATTTAAGTCAGAACTCTCCAAGAAAAAGTTTAGAAAACAGCTGTATGGAGCTATTGAAGTAATTACTTCTTCATCATTCTCATGACGCAAGTTCATTAAATTTTAATTACAATTTATCCAAAAAAAAAAATCTGAGTGTTGAGTCAGATGAAAATATTAATGCATAAAATCATTACTTCACAGCCATTTCCACTACCATCGTTTTGCAAAACTTAACACGAATTATAAGCTAAACAGTCCCAAAGGTTATAAAGCTGGATACTCGTTAACGCAAGTCATACATAATAACTTATATATAAATATTTAAAGCCCAGTGAAGCCGGCACATATGTATCAGAGACTTCCACATTCACCCTACAGATAACCAGTGAAGCCGGCACATATGTAACAGAGACTTCCACATTCACCCTACAGATAACGGCGTACAATATAATTCATAAATAAATTCATCTGAGAATTAAGAATTTTTAGTTGTCGAATGCCGGGCGGTAAACATTTGCCAGTGCTGGAAACATTTCCAGCACTATCGGGTGCTATTATCGAGTTATTTCAAAAAAAAAAACTACACTTTCCTTAAAATGAAATTTCCGTTCAGCTTTAGATGGATACTGTTTCCAGCGACATAGGAAGATAAATAAACTACTCGCTTGAAGGTCCTCAAGTGAACGGCTGCAAGAGAGTGGATCTTGTGTTACTGTTAAACAACTGACGCTATCGATACCGTTGCGGAAAATGTCCATTTACGCAAATAATCGGCGATATTACGGGATCAGAGTAAAGGAGGCCGAAACAAAAAATGGTACTGCAGTTGTCATAGTTGTTGCCAGCATGGCAGGTGTATTTATATATGCCACGTTAGTGGCCGCTTATGATGCGTCTCTCTGATCACCGGGTCTCTGCTAATTCCTACGATTGGGCAAGTTCGTCGGTAGTATAATTACCAACCGTGTCCATATTCGCCTATTACTGCTGCAACAAAATAGGTACACCAACCTCTGTTACATGTTCGGAAGCGGGAGCTGGAGCGAATGTGCCACATGAGAAAATAGTATCATTTGCAAAACATCGACTGAACTCGGTTAAACTAATCAAAAAATTTTCGATTTATACTACAGCCTTATAATCACTTTATGAGATAATCTTTCAACTCCCGGCATTTTTCGTCGGTTCTCCGTCGTTATACTTCAGGTCGAAAAATGACCTCTGAAACTTGGGAAAAGAAGCACCCGGATTCCCCAATGACTATTTTGATGTCTCGCCCAAACCGCGTTGGCCTTTTAGTGATTATTGCAACATGGATATTCCTGTATTTTCATGTTATTTCGCAGTTATTTGACGGGTTAACACAGTTTTTAACGTCATGGAACACAGGTTCGGTCATTAAAATATCCGCAACTTTGGACAGTCAAGCAGCTGATTTTAAAAGTATGCAACAATTGCTTATTCTGACTTTCACTAATGTATTTTATTTTCGATCATTGATTTTTTTTCTTCCTTCTCTTCCTTTTTTTTTTCACTAGCAGCTGAATTCTAAAGTTCCACAATTTGGTTACCGTTTGCGACTGCGCACTGCTTTTTGTGGCTTTTAAAGAAAAAAAAAAATTATGGACGATTATTCATTAGGTAAATGAGCTTTTGTTCTTATAGCAAACCCAACTTCCTGTACATTTCTCACACGTTAATTTTAGAAATCATAATCTTGGTCTTTCAAAGTTTCGTTACAAGCAGTGTGAGGTGGAGATGTTGTACAATAACTGAAGTGAAAAAACTAGGACTGTGAGAATTGATTTAAAATTTAGCAAAAGCTGTTTGGTGCCGAATGCAAATGGTAATGCTGAAGAATGGAAGAAGCATGGCATTTTTATTAATAGAAAATTCTTTATAATTATGAAACTCAACAGTATATAATTTCAGTTGATAATGCTGTTGAGTACGGATCGTTTTATTACTTTCTTTGTTGTGGCATCGCTGGAATTGTTTCTTGTGGAATAACGCACACTTCGATAGTACCGCTCGATCTCACGAAATGTCGAATGCAGGTATGTTCTTTTTTAATTGCAGTAGTAAATATCTAGCTAAGAATGAGCCAAGGCTACATGTGACGATGTTTTCTTTGATGTTTTTGCCATTTCCAAGTCTAATACGCAGAGCTTAAGCTGCTTTCAGGTTTTTCCTGATAAATACCTAACCCTACTCTCTGGTTTTCGAAGAACAATTGAAGAAGAAGGTTTTGTTGGATTAACCAAAGGATGGGCATCTACTGCAATCGGTTATTCACTGCAAGGATTTGGAAAATTTGGTTTTTATGAAATGTTCAAAGTGTTTTATGGAAATATTCTTGGGGAGGTTAGGAATTATGCACCTTTCACTTTTTTCTGCCACTTTGTAGTTTTTTGTGTAGGAGTTCTGTTTCTGTACTGTTGAACTGAGCTTCTTCCTGGAATTACCACAGTTTTAATAACTACGGACTGAATTTTGTAGCCTCTGGCTTACAGCTGGCGGACAACAGTGTATTTGGCTGCATCCGCGTCTGCAGAATTTTTTGCAGACATAATGCTTGCCCCCATGGAAGCTGTTAAAGTCCGAATGCAAACTGCTTTGAATGCTCCTTCCAGTTTACGAGAATGTACTTTACTGATCTGGAGAACCGAAGGCTTGCATGGTTTTTACAAAGGTAAATTATATTTTTGATTAAATTATAGAAACCCCTGTTCATTTACAGAAATTATTAATATGTAGGGTTGGTGCCGTTGTGGATGAGGCAGATCCCTTATACGATGATGAAATTCGCTTGCTTTGAAAGAGTTATTGAAATTTTATACATATTTGTTGTGCCGAAGCCAGCTGCGTTATGTACTAAAGAAGAGCAGCTAGTCGTAACCTTCGCTGCAGGTTATATTGCTGGTATTTTTTGTGCAGTAGTGTCGCATCCAGCTGACACAGTAATTTCTAAATTAAATCAAAAACCTGGTTTGTCTGTGTCAGAAGTAATTAGAGCGCTTGGATTTGCAGGTGAGTATCGCCTCGTTCTCGCATTTTGCAAGTGTTTTTTGTTTCTTTTTTTACTTGGACTTCTTATTATTATTCTTTGCTATTAAGTCTTGAAAATAAGCATCGTAGCTTAATATGTGGTTTATTGAGACGCTTTTCCGGGACCTCCGGGCATTGTCAATTTTTGTTTTGAAGTCTGAGTAATAATTTTTTCATTCAGGGCTATGGAAAGGTTTGTTTCCACGTATTATAATGATTGGTACATTGACAGCACTGCAGTGGTTTATATATGATTCAGTAAAGGTTATCCTCAACCTTCCAAGAAACGCTTATTTGAAACATAATGTTGCTCAAAGTGCAAAGTCAATTGTACGTTGAGGAAGATGCAGCGAGATTTTCTTCTTTTACACTTCGTATTAATGATAGTCAGGCCATTCCTGTTCGTTGCTTTTATACGCGTGACCATAAATAACTCTTGGCCTGTTCGTCATGTTTGTATCATTACTCGGTATTATCTTTTTACCACTGTTTCTCTGCCAAATGGATTCTTACATCTATCACTTTTAAAAAGTTGCCAATGGGGTTTTGTGATGAAGATTAAAGTTCCTCTCATTTTCAGTGCCTGACCGATGACTTTTTGCAACAGTCTTAATTAGCGCAGTGTATGTGAAAGGTAATTACTTGTGTTTTTACTAGCAGATAAGTTCCTTCGCAATGTACTGACTTTAATAAACCAGTTTGCTTCATTCATCTCAATAATTCAGGGTAATGAAGGGTTCATTTTTTCCTAAAATGTCGTTATACGCTTTAGGAATGCTTAAAAAATTGATTGTAACGACTACAAAGAGAAAAAAAAACCATGCATTAGAGCGAACGTTTTGCTTGGTTAAATGTTTTATTGAGCGAGTTCTTTAATTAAATATTCAAGTCCTGTTATGCATCGGTGAGGTGCGACGTGGAAAGCAGGTTTTTACTCTGAAATTTTGTGACATTTCTTAAATAACTTTGTGCAGTCATGGTGGCAAACTGACTGCTGCTAGTTAAGTATAACGAAAAAAGTCGTTCCTTGCCTCATTCTTTAGTTTGGTGATGTCTAGACATTGCTTAAATTGCATGCATTATTGATAAGTGTAAAATTCCGTTTTTTTGACTGGTAGCAAAGTTGAAGTTGCTGCTATTAAGCAACATTTACTTGAGTGGGAGGTTTCACTTTTGATGAGTTTTCTGCACTTAATATCGGTACTGTTTTTTAGTCTAGAACTTTTATTTCAAGAAGCGGTTTTAGAATTTTGCTACAAAAGACTGCAGGTAAAATTTTTACAGTAATATCGTGCGTCAACAGTAGAAATTCCGAACTTGAAGAATCCGATTAAAAATAAAAATTTCCCGAAATTAGCTGCTGGTTTCAAAAAGTTATTTTTTACAAAAACAAAAATTAAGCTGATGAGTGAGAAATAGCGGTTAGTCGGATCGTCCTTTTTTCTATTCACTTACAATAGCCTGAAATAAAAATTTAAAGTTTTTGACTAATTGAGTTGAAAGTTACTGGCGACTTTAAACCATGGGTTTTGCGTCACGCTTGTAAACTAGAACAGCCTTTATTTTTTAAACTAAGTTCTGATTTTAGTAATAAGAGGTTTTTTTAATTGCAGTTTGCTTTAGACGATTTGTTGTCTCCAGTGAGAGCTACAACCTCTAACGCGGTCTTTAGTGCATGACGGGATAAACGGAATTATAGATTTAATTGCCCATTTCTTTGAATTAAACTATGCTAAATAAGGGATTTAAGGTAGGCAAGAAGCGAGCGAAGAGGGACGGCGGTGTGTCGTTTCAAACATCGCCAGGCGCAAGTGGCTTGCTGGGGCGGTCACAAGAACGTTTACGGGATTGGCACATTGGGTTCCAGAATGCGAAGAAACTTGGTGGAATCCTGTGCCTAAAAAATTTTATTTGATTACAGAAATCCAACAGCTATGCGCTGTACAAAATAGAACGTTTTAAAGCTGTTTCTTTTTCTCCCATACTGGTTTGAAAGATGGTTGTTCTTAAATGAGTTAATTCTTGAGGTAAAAGATATGATCCTGGGAGAGGTGGCAACAGGAATAGTAGAATTAAGAGTTGTCTTCTTAAAAATGGGATAAATCTCATTTTAAACCACTCTTGTTTGTTCAGTGGAAGAGAAAAAGATCTAATTATTTTACTGTCTAGTTATTTTGCTACAGCATTCTTTGACCACAGATTTTTCTGGCCATTTATTTACCTTCCATTTGTAAAAAAAAAAAAATTTTTATGTTTTGCAGCAGCTACTGCGCCAATAATTTTGTATTCTGCTGATGCTGGAATTTCGTCTGTTGTTTAGGTTCTGCTTAGCGGCATTCTGCAAGCTCATCTCATTATCGATAAAGTTTTTTAAAATTTCGAATTTCCTCTTTCTTATACATTTTTGGCAAATACAGACGGTTAGTATAACTTCGAATCCTTTTTGTATGAATATTTCAATAAGAACCAGAAACTGTTCCGTTTTCTGACGAAGGCTCAGAACGATTTTGAATTTTTGGTTTTTCACTAAGTGGATAACGTTAACGAGTAACGGTATTCAAGTCAGGATAAGCAATAATTTTACATAAGATTGGGAATAAACGATTTAAACAGCAGTTCAGAAAATTACAACTTTCTTTAAACGTTATGTGATTAGCTGACCATATGACCTTTTTTTTTGCTGTAAGCCGTTAAAGTTCTGTGCAGATTCGACTTATATTTATTTAAAAAGTTTTTTCCGTTTCTGTAGCAACTATTTTAGAGCGTATCAGATGCACTGCTGATTAAACTTTTATAAATGCTATGATACTGATATTCTTATGGAGGCTTGATCGTTTTCACATTTTCCCTGTTTATTACTGTCAAAACATCCAAAGTGACAAGCACTTGGTGTTTAAGCGCAAATTCAGCGACGTTATTCTACTGCCTCGGTTACAACTCGCTCGTGCATTATTGACTCAACGTGGATTTATAGTTAATTATAGAGACCAGATTCTGCATAAAATGTCTTTTTGAAAAAGGTGGAATGACTTCACAAAAATTTCACACAGTTTACTTCAAACGATCTGTTTTACGTTACAAAGCAGCAAATGACTTCCGATAAACGGTCTATTACAGTGTCTATCACAAAGTAACACAACGAGAATACACAAGAACAAATAATTTCGTCCTTGGACATCTGATGGGAGAAATATAAACTGTCAACCACTTTGTTAGAGAGAGTCACGAAATTTGAAAGCGAGACAAGAAGATTAGCTGCCCAGTTTCTATGTACGCATTCAATTCAAATCAGAAGTGTGCACTTGGTTTGTGTAAGCACGTTTTCTGGAAATTCCTTAGTTAATTAATTTTTTCCCTTCATACGACTGTATCAGATAATTAGCAAATTCTTTGTACACACTTAAGAGCTGCAACTACACAGCTGCTTTCGGACTGGTCAGAAAGCCGCGGAGAAGCGATGAAACTCTAAGCAGATATATGAGGGCGGTTCCTTGTGTTCCAGATTTTGAAGTGCGGTTGCAGAGTAGAAGTGATATTTGGTCTCCCAAATGACGTCAAAAAAGAGACATTGTAAAGCAGTACGACGGTTAAAACGACATTCTAAAACCAAATTCTAATAAATTAGGTGTTATCCATTTGCAGAACAGCAGTTCTCCCAAATGGGAAGCTCACCAACAACTCGACGCACCTCTAAAGAGACGCGTAAGTTAGTACTGATTTTGGGTACTTAAGGTGACTGCTTGAATTTCAGTCACAACGTCAGTGAGTAAGGATTTCAGTGTTACTAGCGCACTGGAACCAGGTGTTTCAGGTTTTTGTGTTTCTGAGCCGGGCCAAATATAATACAGTTTACGAAAACAAGTTTGACATATCTTCTGATACCACAGTGTGACGTCATGCATGCTTTCCACAAACCGAGGTGCTGCGGTGCAGAAAAGTAAGCCACCAGTTGTCGCCAAGTGTAAGTTTTATCGCGTTATATTAGAATTGAAATGACGATGGCAATTTCAATTCTGCGTGAAACTCACAATTACTAGCAGAATGATGCCTTCTATAAATTCTTTTTATACACCACGAAGCAGAGAACGTTTAATTTTTTGGCATAGTGATGTCTTCTTTGCTGCAAAATAGGGTCAACATTAATTCGATTATTGAAGACACATACGGCAGTATTGTCCTTCACAGAGAAAGGAAGCAAGCGTTTGTCTTGTAATGTAGTAAAAACAGTGAAGAAGTACAAAATGTAACCCGCAGTTTTTTAGTGAATACAATTTGATAGCAAAAGAATATTTGACAAATTAATTTCCCTTGACCTCTAAATCAGAATTTCTCTAAGAATACTTTTAACATCTTTTCCGGCCTGCTGGTGGCTTCGGTAGAAGGATTCTGGTATATAACTATAACTACTCCTCTGCGTAAATAAGCATTATCATGTACCTTATAAGGTTTACGGTTCAATTTTTATTGTCTTCCCATTTTTGTCCTTCACCGTTTAACTGCCCCCTGATATAAAAAGTCGACATTTCCTAAAATCTTTTCTTTCCAAATATGACGCTGCGAGGAAGGCAATTTTCTGTCTCCTAAGACAAGCTTAGTTGTACCTCCATGACAAAAATGACGGGGAAGAAAGAGCAAAATTGAAAGTTTCCTAGATTTCAATTTCAGTTTGATTTTTGTTGAAGGATCTGCTCAAACTGCTGGTTCCATGTACTCGACACCTGTGGATAGGACTTTCAGGTGTCAAAGTATGCCATATTAGCACTTTACAGGCAGCGTTAAGATTGGCTCAGCTGTGACTACTTTTCTGCAAATAAATCCAACTTCAGACATTTAGGACCGTAAATGTTACGCAACTTTTCTGTTCCTTCATGACTGAAAAAATTTTTTTAAGCGTAAAACAACAAACTGCAGTTATAGGTAGTAAGTTCCACTTAAAGCCGACTTACTTCGCAGGACTTTCAAACTGCAACTTTTTAGCTACAATTGCAGGTGTAGGAATCTGATGACGCCATTGATATAAGCATACGACTGTTATACCGCTGAAAAAAACTAACATGCGTGCAGCTGTCTATACAGTCACGGAATATTGCTTACATTTGATAATCACTACGCAACTTATTCTCGTTTCCCGAGTTTAAGCAAATCCCTACCGCTTGTTAGACCTCTCCTAGCATTGCTCGCCGCCTGCTTGCGTAGGCACAATTGCGAGCCCGCGCCATCTCCGCCGACTCCCAAAAACACTGATCAATAGATAAACTGGCTGATGCCTGCCTGCCGCATGCTGTTAAGCAAAGCAGACGCCGCCAACATCTAAATTGCCACGGAAAGTTCTTTAGTTGCATAAATGCACGTAGACAAGCTGCGGAACGCAGGTGGACGTGCAGTTTCGCATTGGGTATATCGCAAGGGGCTTTACTAGGCAGATGATGCCACTGTATCGGGACGTGACGATTGCTGTTTGACGTGAGAGGGGGAAGGGGGATGATTTAGCAGTGATTGGTTTTGTTGGAGAACTCACTACTTCGCATGTTTTATCTTAGGGTTTTATGTCATAGTGTTAGCGAGTGGTGTTCTTTAGTTGCAGCTTTAATGAAGCTGCTCTTGATCAGTGGTTGAAATCTTTTTAACTTACTGGCATACTGACTGGAAGAATTTTCCTGGACGATTTGGTGGCTGAACCTGCTGTACTTGTGAAGTTTTGGTTAAAATTGTTACTTTAGATAAGTTTAGAAATTTCTCTGAAAATTGATTAATTTCTCTTCGAGATTAAACTTCACTTTTGAATATTTTTGATACAGAGCATTAGAATTTATAAAGGAACATAGTTTTTTCCTTTTTTTTTTAGACAGGTGGGAGATTTAAACAAACGAGAAATTTTGATAAAAGTTCTTAAAGTTTTGTTATGTATTTGAAGTAGCTGGGATATATGATGAATTAATGTTAAAATGAAATTTTTTTTCATAGTGACGCATTTGCATTATTCTGCGTAGTCTAGTCTTGTGTCGTCATTTAACAAGTCGGAGTTGCACTGTCGTCGTTCATTGGTATTTCGACGTTTGTCTGTATATATCGATGATGAAGCGGAATTTTTTGTGTTAGTACGATTGGGTTCTAGGCATACTTTGAAACATATTTTTGGTGACTACGTTTAATGGTCGTATGAAGTTAGTTTCATGTTTTTCTATTTTCATTGCATATCTGACCAATACGTTACAATAGAACTTATTTGGTTTTCCGTCACCTTTCACTGTGGTGGTTCTGCTTCTCATCTATTATATGTAGTACTGTAGCTGCTAGTTTGGTAATGTTCCAATTTGCTATTGCTACATTCAGATTATTCCAAATATATTTTTTTTCCTGTAAGTGGATGAAAGGTTTTTGTTGATCGACGTACTGTCTCTGAAGTACTTTAGCGAAGCGTAGTGGAGAGGAAATTAGGAACGGTGATGAGGGGATAAAATTGAGTAAACTTGGCAAAAAGTCATCTTTTATTTCTGGTGGGAATAGTTTATATACCGTTAATTCTAATTTTCTGTGTCGACTTAGGCTTGTTGAATTGGCGGGTCATCATTCCAACAGTGCCATCACTGGTGGCAATTGTAGGTCACTTCTCAAAAAATGCTGAAGTACTTGGATCAATGGCTACTAGAACTTTCTGGCATTCTCTTTAAGAAGAGTACACGGGCTTCAACAGAAGCATCCCTCTGATATGTGTAGCGTCCTCTTGAAATCACCTGTTTTTATTTTTGATTCTTTCATTTATTTTTATATTTACTTGCATTTATTTCAAACGTGGTAACTTGCAAATATTTGGGTTATGAAAAAAAGTTTCATAATGACTGACTTATTGCTTTGGCTAAAATGTTCACCCCTCCATTTTTAAATAGCTATCAATAAACTTCAGGTAATCCCTTCACAGCATCATGGGCATATTAAGTCAGTTTTCGGAAGTCTCAAAATCGAATCCTTTCGGTATCCCGGTCGTGCGCAGGGCCGATTGCGCTCGTTATCAAAGTTGGTATTTTTTATTATTCAAGAAGTATTTTATATTCAGTGAGGGTTTCTTAGTGCCATATATTTTTAGGCGCTCCTGGCGAAGTACCTTATGGTTCATTAAAATTCTTTGCTTTGTGCGGCTTAGGAGGGATTATTTCATGTGGCACTACGCATACTGGCATTGTTCCCCTTGATCTCGTTAAATGCCGCATCCAGGTTGTCCTCAGTTTCTTCTTCTTATGGGTGTTGATTCATATTTTTTAAGCTGAATTCCTTTAGTGATATATTTTAGGTTGACCCAGTGAAATATAAGGGTATTATCAGCGGATTTAGTACCACTATTAGAGAAGAAGGTTTCCGTGCACTAGGGAAGGGATGGGCGCCGACCTGCATAGGGTATTCTTTGCAAGGCTTGGGTAAATTCGGCTTTTACGAAGTCTTCAAGCTGTTCTATTCAGATTTACTCGGCGAGGTAATTTTTATTCGAATTTGACAAATTTTTCTAGTGAGCTAGCTCGCTGCAAGTTCAGCATCTTGGGACACATAGAAGCTAATTATTTTTACTTTCTAAACTCGTCCAAATTTGAAAGCAAACGTTCTTTCGTCTTCGTTACAAATTAAGTAGTGTTATCACTGCTTAGTACAGGAGCTATCGTACACATGGCGTACATCACTGTATCTAGCTGCATCAGCTTCTGCAGAGTTCTTTGCGGACATTATGCTTTCTCCAATGGAAGCAACTAAAGTGCGTATCCAAACAGCCCCAGGCGCTCCTCCAACTCTCCGTGGTTGTTTCCCTATGATCTGGAGAACAGAAGGACTTGCAGGATTCTACAAAGGTTATTGACCTTTTGTCTTATAATGATTTTTCCTTTTCCTACACTTGTATTTTAAAAGTAAAAGCCTTCAACTTTAGTTGGTTTCTTGTCATAATTTCGTCAAACTTCTTAAGGTTTACCGCCACTTTGGCTCCGACAAATCCCATACACTATGATGAAATTTGCTTGTTTCGAGCGCACAGTAGAGATGTTGTACAAATATGTTGTACCCAAACCGAGATCTCAGTGCTCAAAACCAGAACAGTTAGTGGTGACTTTCATCGCCGGGTATATTGCCGGCATATTCTGTGCGATTGTATCCCACCCGGCTGATACTATTGTTTCCAAACTCAACCAAGACCGTGGATCGACAGCTATGAGTGTCGCCAAAAAACTAGGTTTCATGGGTAAGATCTAAGAGTTTGTGGTTACTTGGTGTTTTTAATAACAACTAGCAACGAACCAATGAATCTAAGTCTTTATTCTGAACATTTTTTGATCGTAGTTTCTTACCAATACTCACGCGTGCTTCAGGGTTATGGAAAGGCCTGTTCCCACGTATCATTATGATTGGTACGTTGACAGCCGCTCAGTGGTTTATATATGACTCAGTGAAAGTGGTTTTCAAGCTTCCTCGCCCGCCGCCACCGGAGATGCCAGAATCGCTTAAGTTGAAATTGAAGGCTGCTGGGAAGCTTTAAATTGTTTGATTGACACGTGTTTAATTGTCTGTAGGTTGACTTGATTAAGAACTTATACGTGGCCAAAAACTCTTGACGCTGACTTTCAGTGCCCTGCTCCTTTTCCTTTTTTTGCCGTTTGTTGTATTTTGCAGGAACCTGACATAGGATAAATAAGATTCCCAAGTGAGGTGCCAGTCATTGTCAAAGTGGAGTTATGTATTTGGGGATGTGGGTTTCTTTAGCTTTCCTACACCACTCTGGTTTTTTTTAATCTTTTAGTTGGGGAAGTTGTTTAGTCAGCAGGATTTTTTTATACTGCGGGAGACCATGTATTTGTTCTTTTAGAGTACTGCTTTGATGTTTGCATAAAGTGTTGGGACCTATTCAACTCAAAGTATTAGTGTTTATCTCAGTTTCAGTAGTGTATGTCGTGTGGCTTGTCACAGTCACGTTCATGAAGTGGTTTTGCTCATCTTAAGCTTTGGTGAGTTGTTAATAAAGTGCAAAGTTCGAGCTTTTGGCATTACTTATGCTGCTCCATTAAAGTGTTCTCTGATGGTGAGTGGGCGTCTGGGATGATGACGTCGGAAAGCACTTTTCAGATTCGTTTCTGGAAGCACGGTCTCTAAAAGTTTGGGTGGACAAGTTTTTTGGTAGGTAACGACGTCAGCTTGTTACTTGTCCTTGAGTGGTTGATCGTAAGTGTTGTTTTTTGCGAGGAATATGAGGTGAACGCGAGTGAAAGCTTAAACAAGAGCCAATTTCTCTTTATACAACAACAGTTTGTGTTTTTTTACTGCTCTGATGTTCGAATGAAGGTGCGGTAGCAAGTTTGCAGAAGTACGAGGGCGATTCGGTCTTCTGAGGCAATAATGCAAGAAAGCACAAGCTGTATGGTCAACACCGAGTAGTACAGCTGAAACTGATGCTCCTGATGAACAGGATCTTTTAAAAGAAGCTTAACTAGTGATTGGAAAAAGAACAACGAGAGTTTCAAATGGTGACGATGTCGTTAAAAACTTACTGCAGAGAAAACAAGGAAGTAAACTCCAACTGTCGGAAACAGGAACAAGAGTATTATGAAAAACAAGGTTGCGATAAACAACTGCCGAATATCCAATCGCACAGAGTCTACTCTACCTCGCAGTGGGTTGTATTTCCTACCTCTAAAAACTCGCCACAAAGAGCAGACGGCAACAACACAAACTTGAGCCAACCTGCAATAATGTCGTATGGAAATCAGGAAAAAAAAAGAAATGCCAGCACATACATCAGCAAACATAAGCAAGGTAACGGCAGATGAACTGTTTTGAAAACAGCGCTTATTCACGTATTTCAATAATAAAGTAGTACAAGAGTTTCAAATTTTTAAAGCTTAGCATATCACTAAATGAAGTACTGAAGACGCACCTGAATAAAATAAAACAGAAAATGCAAAAAAACTAATTTACAAAATTTTCAAGAAAGTCACGGCCGCTATATACAAGATTCTCATGACTAATGACTAATTAAATTCCGCACTCCCTTTCTAATAGTGAGCGGTTACAAATAAATAAATAAATAAATAAATAAATAAATATATAT